TTAAAATTTTATTTTCTTACTAAATACAAATATTGTTTTAAATGCTAATTTAAAAAAAAGATAGGTATTCTATTCCAGGAAAAATATCAGACACTTTCAACTTATGTTTTAATTGCATTTATTAGCAATTGAGTATTATAATATACGAAAATGAAGCAACGCAAATCTAACCGTAAATTTATTTGATTTTTTCTACAAGCTCAAGATGCGCAAACAAATAAATATTATATTTGTACAAGAAAAGGGCAATGTCGTCCATTTTTTTTTTCTAATAATCTGTAGCAATAAATATTACCGAAAGAAGCGTTATTTTTTTGTCTAGAATACTTTAAACCTCAACAAGCGACGGTCATCACAATGTGTTCAATTATACCAAATATTTTGTGCAAGTTTTACAGTCTACAAAATTACTACGTCATGATTGTACCTAATATTCATTTGTATATAATTGTAAACAACTGACTAGATGGACAATGTGACTATGTACATAACATTTAATGGGTTATATCCTAAACTAACTGTTTACCTACTTAATAATTTTAACGATACTTACTTAAATACATTATACTTAAAATTTAGAAGATTTATTATTAGCTCGCTTTAAGATATAAAGACTTCCCTTCATATCATCGTTTGAGAGACGTTTGAAGCAATAGTGAAAAGCTAAATCTATTTTGATATGTAAAGGAAAATAAACTGACCATATTTCAATTACGGTTTTCCTATTATGACATGATTATTTCAATATTGTGCTTTTTTTTTAATTCTATTAATTCTTAAAATCTAAAATTTTTAATCATCTGTCATTATATTTTTTACAGAGCATTAAAAATTTTACATTCTCTTGTTTTAAAATAGAATAAAATTAGTTGATTAATGAATTTCTGGCTTTGTTATCAAATTATTTCAATTAAATCAAAAATATATTTTCAAATGTAGATGCAGATTCTTCGATGAATAGTCCTGTAAATATACGGTACTTAAAAAATATTTCACTACTTATCCTATGTGCAATTTTTTCACCGCGATTCACAATAACCTCTATTCCATTTAATTAAATAAAATCTTGGTTCTACTGTAATTCATTTATTTAAAATTGGTTTTAATTTTTTAATCAAGTATTGCGATTTAATAAGCGATGTTATGATATGTACTTGTATAAAAATTTATATATATCGAGTACTGATTGCATTTTCCAATTTAAGCATATTAGATTATAGTAAGATGTTAATGAAATTTAATTGTAAATAAGTAATGTCGAAGTGTTGTTTTGTACCAAAAGTATTGATAAGATCGATCGCTAAAGATTTGCTTTCAATATCAGACTTTGAGCTTGAATCACATTATTTTATCAGGACAGACTAAATTTAAATGTTACAACATCTTTGTTATGTTCCTCGCAACATTTTATTTGATTTCTTGATACTAGATTTATAACTGGAATTTGTAGTAAAACATAACTTACGACTAAGGCTACTAATTAATAAATATTATATCCCTTTAACAATTACTGTCTTCTAATTGATCTTTTGCAATAAATTCTTGAGATATTCCAATAAAACTATAGCTAAACGGTTGAAGTTATTATCAACTATTGTAATTATTTTATTATTGTCGTATCAAACTATAAAAATAAAAGTATATATTTATTTATACACTTATTTTATTAATTTTGAATTTTAAATTATACAAAAACATTTTAGAAAATGACGCAGAGTAGAAATATAATTTCTACTTTAAGTGAACCTCGTTTTTATAAACGATCAAGTCATGATAAAATAATGAAGTCTTTCAAAAAGCACAACTAATTTTACCTATAAATCGATATTGCTTTTACACTTTGTTTTTGAGTATTAAATTGAATAAATTATCCTTATTGGGATATTTTACAGCGTTTACCAATCTTTCTACGTGATAAGTTCCACTTCGTCTGTGTTATGTAAACATATGTACAATAATACAATAAATATATTTGTGATATTAGCAATGTAGTTTCATTCAAAATATTCAATACGGAATTTATGTTATTCTTGCAAATATCGGTTAATATTATTTTTATAAAACCAACGTGACAAACGAACTTACAGTCCACTTGAAGACCAAAACATTTCAGTGCAGGTTAAATTCAACAGGCTATTTGGCAACAAATGTAAGTAAGAAGGTGGTGCCTACCCTGACGGAATCCTAGGCAAAAGAAATCCCACAAGCAATAAAATGGTATAAATAATCATTTAAAATAGCTGAAAAACCTCGTGGAAATGTTCGCATCTACAGCCTTTTTAAACAGATGGACTTAGGGTTTTTAAGGTTCTTTATTATGTTATATCATTGAAAGTGTTGCCCACTAGGTACCACTCATAAGGTCGCCAACTTTTTACAATGGGTCGTGGAAAAAGTTTCTTCGTATTTTGTTTGTATAAAATTGAAGAAAATCTCTTTGGTTGTACTGTTTATGACTGGCTGTTTTTAATAGCAATACAAATTATAGGGCATTAAGAAAAAGAAAAGAAATAAAAAAAACACTTTCCCCGCCATTTTTCAATTGTTTTTCTGTCCGCCAAAATTAATGAATCTAACGAAGAAATTCAAGAAGTTTCATTTCAAAAAAGGGGAAAGATGCAACTCAAGGCGCGAAATTTTTTTTGAGGTTTAGGGACCTACTGCAATATCAGTAAAAGTAGCACAAAGTTGGTTCAAGCGTTTTCAGTTCGGAAATTTTGATGTCAAAGATGCAGCTCGCTATGGTCGCCATCATACGGATAAAGCCGATGCCAATTTTGAAAAAGTGGAGCAAGATTGGCAAATTAGTAGTTACGACATAGCCGAGGAATTGAGGATTGACCTCAAAATAGTTTTGGCCCATTTGGAAAAGTCTGGCTATACGAAAAAGATCGATATTTGGGTACCACACAAGCTCACTGAAATAAACCTAACGAATCATTGCGATTGCGATTCTCAACAAAATGGTTCAGTTTCATTACGTTTAATAAAACGTAATGAAACTGAACCATTTTTGAAAAGATTGATCACTGGTGATGAAAAGTGGATCACCTACGATAAGAACGTGAGAAAAAGATCATAGATAGGTAGTCAAGCTTCACAGACTGTAGTGAAACGGTCAAAACCATTGTTTTGTTTCTCTACTGTTAATAACTAATGAAACTCAGGCAAGAAATTGAAAAAAAAACGGTCGGAATTGATCAATAGAAAAGGAGTGGTCTTTCATCGTGATAACGCCAGACCAGACCACACACATTTTTGGCCACTCAGCAAAAACTGAGAGAGCTTGGTTGGGAAGCGTTAATGCATCCACCATTATATAGTCCTGACCTTGCACCCTCAGATTTTCACCTGTTTAGGTCTTTTCAGAATTCTTTGGTTAGTGTTTTTATTTTTGTTTTCCGGCGGGAGTATATTGTCAGTTTCCACAGATTTGTTCACATTTTAAACATTTTTTATTGGTTAGTGTTAGATTAACATCAAGAGAGGACTGTCAAAACAACTTTTTTTTATTCATATATAAAGGGCTTTGTCGCTGATGCGATTATGCCGCCCTGGTAGTTAGAAAAAAATCTTAAATATAATTACTAACAAATAAACTTATTAATGTTTACTAGTTACTTAATCTCTTATTAACTAACTAACAAATACAGTTTTTTGGCATCATCTGATAACGGGTCGGATAAAATACTATTACTACTACCAATTAAGGACAAATGTAAATTACAATTTGCTCTTTCTCTTGAGTTCTGGGCACATTCTATCAAAATGTGATAAACATCATCGATAATATTACAAATTGAACAATTTGGTGAGGTAATTTTTCGCATCAAGTATAAAAATTTATTGCATGGAATGTGTCCAGATCAAAACTACTTGTCGCATTTCTTATGAAAATTCTTAAGATTTCTACGCAACAGGATTATGTTACTACCTACAAGTTATCGAACAGAATGGCACATAGGTATATATTATAATTAAACTCTTTGTATATAAAATACAAAGAAACTTTTTCCTGTAAAAATATAATAGGTGGAAAAAAATAAAATAGCAGTATAGTTTGTTTCAACTTAACATTTTTATTTTTGATGATTTCAGCCTTTATAACAGCCTCACGCCGTAGTCAGCCTTCAATAAAATATAATAGTTTCGCTTAAAATACAATATGAGTACAATACAAAATATTTGACCCGAACGTGAGTTAGATCCTTTTCTACCAAGCGTATTTTTTCGTATTTAGCGTAATTTTGTCATATGGCTTTATCAAATGAGTAAAAGCCTTTATCCATGAGTGAATGTAAAGCGCAGCGCCCACCTAAGTAACGTAACGCGTGATCTGACGCGTGATTTGACGCGTAACTTGTCATTCGCCTCAACATTCAAAGAGATTGTATGTAGTAGCGCCCATTAGCGTGGCGTGATGCTGCATGACCTGACGTGCCATTCAGCTTGCTACTAGTGACGCATTGAAGTGGCGCGTAACACGTAACTTGCAGTGACTTGTCTATACAAAATGAAAGACGACCTAGCTTTTTTCTTTTCATGAAAGGCCATGTATACAATATGTTTGTTCTAGACCCGATTACATTAACAGGAATTCGCAAGATACTTCTTGCAACTTGTAGTGACTTGCCCTCAGAACATAGAAACAAGTTGTTTCTATGATCTGAGGACTTGCCTATGCAAAATATAATTCTAATTCCTTCATAGCATTGAAAGTACCGCCACTTTTCAATTTTTTTCCTCAAAGCATGTACCCGAAATCTTTTGCTGGCACTTGGAATGTTTGAAATCTGTAGCATAGCAAGGGCATGTTTATCTTCTTCAGACGACATTTTGGCTCAAAATGAATTCTGCGATATGCTATTGTTGCACAGCTTGGCGCAAGCAGTGTCACCCGTGGTCACGTCAGAGTATCGTCAGAATCATGCTACAAGCCATGTCGAAATCAAGTAGCTTAGGTGGGCGCCGCGGTTAACAGAAAATTATCTTGTCGAAACTTATATTACGACTTGTTTAAAAGGATCCGTTGTAATTATCACTGAAGAAGAATTCAGGCCATTCATTTGAGCTTGGTATAACACGTCATTTATTAGTTTCTCTGCCACTATCCTCATGTTTGATGGAAGACTCCTCAGTTTTGCTGCCACGTTGATACCTAGGTGTTAAAAAATATTATTATAAGTACTGATATTAAACACCTGCTGGCAGATTCAGACCAAGGTGACAATTTAAAGCTTGCTTAAAATGTTATTGATTATCACAAGCAATCAAACACATTGCGTACGGATATATAGCATTACCCACATGTCACGAAATAACTAATTTTTGTGGTTAAAATGCTAACAACAAAGGAGTAGAATAGTTTGAACACACCATTCATTCGATACCCCTATAACGTGGGTATTTTAAAGAAAAGTTAGAGGCTTTGCATCTGCGGCTTCATCACATCATCAGGTGAGTTAGAAGTCAAGCTCATTTAAGGTTAAAAAGCTCGATATTTATACACGTGGTGGAGCCATTCTGCAGCTATATAATGATTGTAGCACAAACGAGTCGGCTCGACTCGTCCGGTTCTGTGTCATTGCTCCTGTGTCAGGCTCGGCTCGACTGGTCCTGTGTCATTGGTCTTCAACAGGTGTCTTCGAGATGGATACTTTCCTAATATCAGGAAAAAGGCCCATATATTGCCAATTCATAAAAAAGGATTGAGGACTTCAATTGAAAATTACCGACCTATAATATCTATACATAACGTGTTGAGCAAAGTGTTCGAGAGGGTCGTACATAAATTTATCTATCCTGTAATATCTGTCTCATACCAATAGAGCAGCATGGGTTCATGAAGGGTCGGTCTACAGCTACCAATCTGGGAGTATTTGTCGTTACGTATTAAGTAACATGGATGGCGGGTCTCAGGTTGATGTGATTTACACGGATTTTGAGAAGGCGTTTGACCGTGCAATGCAACGGATATATAAATAGCCTTGAACTATCAACCAAAATACTGAGTTTCTGCACCCCGAAAGTTAGAAAGAGACATACAAAATTATTTGCTGTAACACGATCAAAATCAAATTACGCACAAAACGCATTGGTCAGTCGATTGCATAGAACTTTTAATAACCATTTAATGTTACTGACATTTTTCATCAAATCAGAGAGAAAGAGAGACGCGCCGTTTTTAATTGTTAATTCTAAAATTGTATGTTTTTGTAGCTCAAACTTATTGATTGTCGGTCGATTAATTTAAGTTAAAAAATGTATAAAGTAGATCCGTTATTGGCTGTAAGTTTATTTCTTAAGTTCATTTACATTGTAGTTAGGGCTATGGATTTTGTAATAAATAAATAAATAAATAAATAGACCGGGGAAAGACAACGCGCTCACAGAATACCAGCGTCAAAATGTAGATCATTTTCACCCCCTTAGGAGCTTAGGACTAAGATGGAATGCCTTGTTTCTAGTGAAAAGGGTCTCCGACTATTGTCATGTATGTATTGTCTATGGTATTCTATGCAATCGTGGTTGTTCCCAGATCGGGCCGACCCAGTCGTGCAGCAGCACCCCACACTACAGAGTGGCACTACCACGTAAAATCTAATCATAAAAATTACAAAATTTTAATCTTCATTTGCCTGATTATCACACTAATAGTATTGGGTAAACTGCAGTTGTCAACCCACATGCCAAGCGTGACAACTATGGCAAATCACCCTCCTATGTGGCAATTTATTCTATTTACTCGTATTTTCAAAAACTGCTATAACGGTATATCATTATTTATATATTTGAACTTAAGTTTAAAACAACTCTGTATAGATAGTAATCAACATTATAGTTACCGATCGCGTCGTATTCATCTTCAATCTCGGTACAATGTCGTTTCTCGGTTTTGTGTGGATCTTCATCGAACATTTTGGGCATAGTAAAGCTTTCTGGTGCACCTGTCATATTGCCACTGAATGTGTCCATTGATTGTTCAAATGCGGGCTCCTCTTCTTCCGCGTTGTCGTTGGTGCTGCCTTCTACTTCCTAAAAGTGAAATTCATTTTACTAGTTGGTCGGACTTATTTTCTGCCTGGTTTGGTTAGGTGCCACATTCTTCCCTAATTCCGCAGCCAAATTTCAGTGCACTGGTTCGTTTCAGCCGCCTCGTACCAGCCTCGTACCGGCAGGCGAAGCGTGGGGCGGCCCCCCACTAGATATAGTGACGACCTGGTAAGACATGCAGGAATTCAATGGATGCAGGTGGCTGGGGACCGTGCTTGGTGGCATTCTTTGGGGTAGGCTTATGTTTAGCAGTGGACTTGTGAAGGGCTGTAATGATGATAATGATGAAGCGGTATAGATGTAATGTCCATTTTTGCGTAATAAATATATGTAATTGGGTACTTAGATGATATCACCGTTAATAAATAATACATCATTTTATAATTGCTGCTTCTATTAGTGGCTTCTATTTTATATTCTATTTCTATTCTATTTTAAATATGTTAAATTTAATATTTGTATGTCACAGAAAAAGTACGAGAGTAAAATTAATGATGCAGTGTAGAATATATTCTGTAAATGTAAAAAGGGCGTAGAAATTTTGCAATAAGAGAAGTGTGGTTTGCAGGATATTGTAAGCAGGATTATTAATAGAAAGCTTCGGTAGTTTACGTAGAAATAACGAATATGGAAAGAGAGACAAAGCAAATTTATGCTGGACTAAGGGTGGCACAGATCAGGAAGGAACGCGTGAGATAGAGGTTTGTTTATATTTTTATATGTGACCACTCCTGTAGTCTCGTAAGAAAGTAGTAATGGGTTATATAATTAATAAAAATAGTTAAAGTCCCATCAAAAGCGAGTATTAGGTTTACAAATGGCAGTAGGTATATCTCGTAATATACATACATAAAGAACATACAGTCAAATTAAGAATCTCCAAATTTTTTAAGTCGGCTAAAAAGATGAAAGAATTATATCATTTAACGTCGTCATTTTTTCGATTGTCGATACTTTGAGCTTTATACTTGGCCTTTGCTACAGGTTTTTTTTTTATAGAATATGATGACAAATTAACACACAGCTCACCTGATGGTAAGTGGATACTGTGGCCCATAGACTATCTATATTTATCCACGATTAAGAACCAAAATAAAGATGCGTTGTCACCCCTGAGGACTAAGATGGAATATTTCGTACCCAGTAAAAAGGGTCTCCGGTTCCTACACTCACCATACGAAACTCAGCAGCATTAAGTTGTTATTTTTATGCTTGTATTCTGTGAGAGCGTGGTCCTTCCCCGGTCGGCCCATTATAACGAACTGAAGTGACTTACATATTGTTATTTCACATTTTAAGGCTTAATAACTTTATTTTTCTCATCAAGAATTAACAATAATATTTTAACAAAACAAAACAAATTTTAAAAACTAAAATAATGCAACTCTATGTGACTGCAAGAAAAAGTTACGACGCACAAAGTTTTATTATCATTCAATTTCTGTTGCTCACGACTCGCTTCATCCCGGGCAAGAAAATATTACAACTAATAGTTGTACCATTTACCATCTTAAGATGTGTTTAATTGCGCACCTGCTCGGTTTCGCGAAGCTGCCACAACTTACAAGATTAATTAAACAATTTGTTTCGAAAACAAGAAACAACAGAACAGCAAACGCTGAATGAGGCATTCTTGTTAAATATTGTTTCCTTATTATAGTCTTATATCAGCAGCAGACGGTTTCCACTTAACAACTAAGTATAAGTGCTGATGTTTGGTATACCACATGAATTATAATTATAATAATGATGCATGCATGAATTTTAATTCATACATAAATAGATCAAGTTGTAAAATTCTAAATCGTGTAGTGGTGGTATAAGAAAATCCACTATTCCATATCGTCCAGTGTATCGTAAGAGGCGATATAGGGAAACTCAAACAGTAAATAGGCAGCAGCAACATTCAAATAACAACTCAACATTACAAAACCTGCAGTTGCCTGTCAAACGTGGAAACTAACTATCTTCCCTAAGGCAATCTAGGGGGACACCCGTGTTCAGCAGTGAACTTTTATACGTTGAAATAGATAGATGAATGATGGATGGTAAAATTAAGATATTAGTGTGCAAATACCAGTTATAATGGAGTCACTTAAACTGCAAAAATGTAGATAGGGTACCACTGGTCCGCTAGATTACTGTAGGAGAAGGTAGGATAAGGAAGGAAACATACCAAACTTGTACATAATATTAAGCTGTATTTCATATAAATAGTTAGTGATTGACTAGAACTAAAACCGAAGACACTTTTAACCCGATTGCCAAGGGAGGGTTATGTTTTTCGCGCGTATCTTGTATATATTTGTTTGTAAATTTTTTTATTACCTTGTATCTTCCAAACAGCAGGATGGATTTCGATACTTTCGTTTTAAAAACCCAAGTTTTCTTAGATAGCTATTTGAAAAAAGAAACAATATAGCGGATTTTTGGCGCAAAATAGTAATACGTTAAAAAATAAAAATAACCAAACCTATTGAATAGGGTATCAAAATAAAGAAAATTAAAAGGGGATTACAAATATAATAATATAAATAAGTTATTTATATTATTATATTTGTATGTATAAGTTTAAATATAAATTAGTTTATATATTATAAAGTTAATAATTTAAAAAAGTTTTGAAACCACCATATATATATATATATATATATATATATATATCCGGGACACTAAAAAGTCTAAAATAAAATAATTAATTAAAAAATCAAAACCCGACTGCAAGAAAAACAATTTAAAAGTAAACACTAAAAAAAACCGGAACAATATTGAGAATAGAAAACAAAATTTAAATAAACTATAAACAAAGTAAAATCTACTACGGTTTACCCATTAATTTTCTTTCGGTTTATAATTTGCAACTGGGTCCCGTCTGCTCTTAAAATTAATACGGATATTTAACTTAGGCTTTCAGCTCATAACATAGTCTGTTAAACCGAAGTAGAGTTTACTTTGCTTATAGTTTATTTTAATTTTGTTTTCTATTCTCAATCTTGTTTGAATTGTAAACTTTTAAGGTTTTAAACTGCCATTTGTCTGCTACATACATAGTACATACTCAACACTCATGTTTTGGTGAACTTCACATGTCTTCGAAATATACATTTTTTTACAAGGTTTCCTCACGATGTTTTCCTTCACCGCTGAGCACTTGATAAATCAGCACATTAAATTGCAATTAAATATGTCATTGGTGCCGGCGGGGATCGAACCCGAGTTACTTGCGTACTGTGAAATTGACAACCAGCGCTTAGCTCCTGAGCTACCACGGCTCTTAACACGACGTCATAGACCTCAGGGGTGACAACGCATCTGCATTTTGATTCTTAATCGAATATAGACATAGATGTTTATGTACCACAGCACTCGTTCGTCCACCTTATTCCATAAAAAATTGAGGCTATATTTTTATTAATTCACCCATTAATTACAGCCTACCAAAGTCCACTGCTAAACATCGATCGCAGATTGCCTCATAAAAGGGAATTGAGGTTTTAGAGGCACATAGTTCACCTGATGGTAAGTGGTTGTTGTATACTATCTATCCTCAATTACGAATCAAAATGCATATACGTTCTCATCCGTGAGGACGGAATGCCTCGTTTCCAGTAAAATGGATATTCGGTTCTCTACACTCAATATACGAAACACAGCAGCGTTAAACTGCTATTTTACGCTGATATTCTGTGAGAGCGTGGTCTTTCCCCGGTCGAGCCGACCCATTCGTGCTACAACTATACTACTAATACAGCTGCAGCATTATTAGAGGGGTATTAAATTAGAATAAATTACTAATAATAAATTGGCGAAAAAATAAAAAAAATTGTATATGTTTCAAAGCACTTGTTCAGCTACTTGTAACAACCTCACCTTTATATAGTTTTGTCTACTATATATATATTTACATAACGAATTTATATACTTACGCGAACACTACATTTTGAATAAAACTATTCTTATTTATTTTTATTTTTTATTTCCGACATTTCGGAAGCTTTGCAGCACCCATGGTCACGGGAGGGGAGGGGAGGGGGGGGACTGAGGGACGTCCACGTTACATAGACGTTCCGATGTCAAAGTTAACCCGGAGGACCTTCAGCTTCAGCTATATATATTTATTTAGAATTTTAGTAATCGGAAGGACGTTAGAGGCTGGCGTTCAAACTCTATAGTTTGTCATGACATTAAACAGAAAGCTATAGATTTGTTACCACTCCTATGATTATATAGGGTATCTTTCTCCTCAAATTGGAATTAAAAGTAAATGCACTGTTGTCTATAGTAGCAGAAACAGGTAATGGAGTTAAAAGGAGTCAAACAGGTAAAAGGAGTCCTTCCAGTTCCACGTATTAGTAGGATTATGGAGGATACCGATACACTTTGAATTATTTCGAACGTCAGACCAAAGAAAAAATCCATTAAAACCCGCGTGAAAGAACATATAGCTGACGTGAAGCACCGACGCTCTGGGAAGTCTGCAGTCTGTGAACATGTTCAAGATCGTCCCCGCCATTACATCAGATTTGATAGACCACAAATCCTCGCAAAAGAACACCGATTCCTACCAAGGATGATACCCGAGGCTATTGAAATTAAAAAACATCCTAATTTCAATAGAGAAGATGGATGAGTGCTGCCATCTGTTTGGGATCCTATAATTAACAAAATTAAATCCAAACCCAAGCATAACACTGCAAGACTTCAAGATACTGTAACTTCATTCTGCGTAAATCGAACCAAAAATAAATATAAAAAAAACTGAAGGTAGCCGGGCTAACTGTGACATCGGGACGTCAAACATCTCAGTCCCCCCCGTGACCATGGGTCGCTGTAAAGCACTCGAAACGTCGGGAATAAAAATAGTAAAATAAACGCGATAAAATCCGTAAAAAACAGTTTTATCCAAAGAAAAGAGGTAAATTCCTGAGATATTATCTGAGAGGGCTATAAAGGCTTTATTTTCATTATCATAATGACTTACATTTTTTTTATATGTTAAGGGCTTAAGGGTGACTAACGAGCACACATTACACCTGATGGTAAGTGGTTTGCTGTGACCCATAGACATCTACATCTATCCTCTATTACAAATCAAAATGCAGATGCGTTGTCACCTGTGAGGACTAAGATGGAATGCCTCATTTCTAGTAAAAAGGGTCTCCGGTTCTCTACACTCATCATACGATACACAGCGTTAAACTGGTATTCTGTAAGAGCGTGGTCCTTCCCCGGTCGAGCCGACCCATTCGTGCTACAACAATACCATTAATAAAGCTGCAGAATGACTCTACCACGTAAATTATGTGCCTTTTATATTGTATCCTCATTTTAATATTGATTACATAAGCATACAAGGACATAATTAATGTCATTATGTTATATTGATAAATATTTTAGAGTTCATGAGATAGAGATAACATTGTTATGTATCCATATGTATCCAACGAACTCTAGAGAGCGAGAGGGCGGAGCATTACAAAACTTGGTTTTAGACGGTTAATTGTTACTACCTATATCTAAATTCGTGAAAAACCGGTATTGCGCAAAAACCGTGACTTACGTAATTTAAACGTAAGAAATAATTTAATATCATATTAAAATGGTGGTCACAAGTTAAACTAAAGATGAGACGTATTTACGCTACCAGGTTTTAAAACCAGGTATTCACTTCAAACTACGGCGCCCTGGTACGAGCAAAAAATACTTGCAAGTATGAAATAACTTGCATAGGAAAATTATCCATATTTTAATAGTGATAAGAAACTCAATCGTATTTGTGAACGAAAAATACTCTGAACTTCAAAGTATTTTTTTATTTATACGACTTTGCTCCTTATTCATAATAGGATAACATGGAATACGGGTGAAATTCCTATGCAAGTATTCTCAAATTTTGACACCGCAGCTGGACACGTTGCGTAAGTAGTAAGTAATAAGAATTATGTTTATATTCGAGGAAGTAAGAGTTTTGTTTCGATTTTTTGTAAATTCAATTGTTATTGTGAACTGATTACATAACCTACTGACCATGACCTAATTTTTAAATAGTTATTTCGCGTGTATATTGGAGCTAGAGACAGTTTTACAACTTTTATTAATTAGTAGTCCTAAGCCAAAAAGGAAAGATTTCATATCGTTAACAAAACAATTAAAAACGTTCAGTCTAAATTTTGTCCGAATCAAATTAGTCATTCATAGGTATATTGACACTAACAAATACTTTTAAGTATTTTTAAAACCTGGTTTTCGATCCTGGTATTTTTCCATACTCGTACTTAGACGCCCTGGTATTAAATTTTGCAAGTATGTCTCATCTCTATAAACATATTTACCTCATTTTGTTCGCTGTGCGGCAAACCGGCTTCGAACAGAAACGATAACAAGTCGTAATACCAAAGATGCGGTTTGTATAATATCTCGTCCGGATTGGTAGCTTTTTTACGTCGGCTGTCCTGTACTCGCTTGTATTCTCTGCGCACGCATGCTCTTATACTCTCTATTTTACGCAGAACATGCACTCTAGTTGCACTTGGGTCGAATTCTTGCACTAATTCTGTTAATTTAGATATCGCTTCATGTCGCTTCTGTTTGTGTTTGTACGCAACGGATTTTCGATCCCATAAGCAAGGTAGTTCTCTATACAAAGTAATGAATTTCTTGAGCAATTTACGGGGGAAAAATACACAGTTGTCGGCCATTTTGTTAATGCGTTCGACAAGCGGCGCGGCGCGCAGGTCACTGAACGGTGAACGTGTTGGAAGCTTGGAAGAATGAAACGGAACGATCGGTCGAGCACGAGCTCTTTGTTCCCCTCGCTTCACTGTTTCGAGACTAAGTACATATTAGATAAGTACTTCAATGTTCGACACATGGCCGAGGCGAACTATTCTGTTAACATTTTGACATTAGTAAATTATTTTAAACACGTTTGTGCATAGTGAACGATTTACATAATTATTATTAACGAAACATTATCACGTCTTGAAGTAAAAATTGTTGGCTATTGTTTGCAGATTCTCTTAAGTTCCAAATAATTAAAAAAATTGCCTGTTATCCCAATTTAATATTTCTATACTAGCGAAAGAAAACCTGAGTTCGCTTGCAAGATATTTATTATACTAAGAAACAAGTGGGATGCGGAAAGTAAAGACTGTGTAAGAACCTTCGAAGGAGGCGGAGTTATAGCCGTAATAAGAATTTTTAATTTTTTGATTCTTGGCCATTTTGACTCCCTAGGAGTGTAATGAGAACTTTTTGCCCCTGTTCAACCATGACCCCCATGACATCCTCTACATGATAGGCTATTCAAACTGACTAGGCCTAAAGTTCGATTCAGCCCCCCAACTCATTTCGTCTTTACTTCCAAAAATTATATCAATTTTTCGTCAACATGACTACACTACATTAAATACATTTTTTTTGGAGTTTATGGCCTGGTATCTAGACCTTTAGGCCAAGTCTTAAGTATTTTTATTCGGTTTATTGTAATTTTCCCACTCCTTCATAGTATACTGCTTCACAATATGTTGATGCGTCACATTGTGCAGTTCTTGGGAGATTTTGGCGGCAACTTGATCCAGCAGACAGCTGATAGTTGGCGATGGTATCTAAAGGTGCCTGTGCAAACAAACAGCTTATCTTGGGAATCCATCACCATCAGAGCACTTGTTTCACTGTTTCCACTAATAGTTCACATGCGTAGACACTTAATACACAAAATCGCAACACTTTTACATATCAAAGTCCACTTCAAACCATTATTTAAACAATAATACAGGAGCAGCAAACCGCCGCCGGTCAATTTCCCGCCAAAAACCCCCACATTAAATACATTCAATTATTTTATACAGAAAATAAACCGGACATTTAAAAATGTCTTAATACTTAAGTCATGGTACTATACAAATACATACATACAATAAATACATACATACATACATACAATAAATACATACATACATACAATAGATACAATACAATAAATTTCAAATTATTACAAAATACAAATTTTACAATTTTTTTAATATTTATTTATTTTTTATATTTATTTATTTATTACTAAATATTATGAAAGTGTCTGTTTGTAATGTTAAATTAACAGCTTTTTACTAAATATGAAAGTATATACGGTGCTAATAACAAAAAACTATTTTAACATTTTTGTCTGTCTGTCTGTCTATTTGTTCCGGCTAATCTCCGAAACGGCTGGACCGATTTTGACGGGACTTTCACGCCAGTGATACTGACTCACGCCAGAGATAGCTGATGTTATAAGGAGTAACTTAGGACACTTTTATTTTAGAAAGAGAATAAGGGATCCGCGCAAACAAATTAAAACCCATGAAATCGTAGTAAATTCCACGCGGGGGACAGCTAGTTTTTAATAATCGTACGTGGTAGAGGCGTGCTACAGTTTACTATGGTTATAATGAATGGGTCGGCTCGACCGGGATAGGACCACGCACTCACAGAATATCTGCAAAATAGCAGTTCAGAGTTGCTGTGTTTCGTATAGTGAGTGTAGAGAACCGGAGACAATTTTACTGGCAACGAGGCATTCCACGTTAGTCCTCAGGTAACGAATCTGCATTTTGATTCGTATGGATGATCCGTTCGGATAGATGTAAGTAGATGCATATGGGCCGCAGTAACCACTTTACGTGGACTGTGTGTTCGTTTGTCAACCTTTTCCTATAAAAGAATGTCCTCAGAGGTGACAATGCATTTTGCATTTTGATTCTTAATTGACAGATCTAAAGCATAAATGACTTCCAATAAGTAGTCTTTTTGGAAGTAGACTTTAAAATAAAGAGGGAATAAATTATGAGGAAAATGTATATATAGGAACTCCGGCTCGTCCGTAGAACTGGATGCATACGTCGTCGGCAGTCTTAAAAAATTTTGTCCAACCGACTTCAATATACATAAATTATTAACAATAAGTCAAAAACTATTAGTCAGACTTTGATCAAATTTATATGGGACCACATGTGAAGCACCAGCTTTCAAATAAGAAAAGAATCATCGAAATCGGTTCACCCAGTAAAACGTTATGAGGTAACACACATAAAAAAACAACACACGGTCGATTTGAGTACCGGCTCCTTTTTGAAGTCGGTAGAAAAGGGCGTCCACAGGAACAGAGAATCTTCGTCACGGTCGCCAAATCTTGTTCAAAATACACCAAGGGAGATAAAATAGAGCTATAAAGAAATGTTATACATGTATATTATAGTAGATTCAATTTGGCTACGTGCCCGTTAAGATATTTAATATTTTGAACTTCTTACGAACGCAAAGTACTTAAGTATATACTTTAATAGCACTGGAAGTACAGATTACACAATTATTATAAACCAATTATCTATGGATTGTGTATTCGTATAAATTAAAGTTTATAAATGTCTACAGCGCAGACAATGTACTTATTAAGTGGCGAAGCTTGCGAAGTCACTTATTGATTTCACGATGTCTGTCCGTCTGTCCGTCTGTCCCACGATTATCTCGAGAATGGTTTTGAATTTTCAAATTCTGTTTTCAGCAATCGATTACTGATCACCCAGGCATCTGAACCTCCTATTTTGAAACTGATTGCTCAACGGCAACCATTACAAACCGCTACAAAGCTGATTGCTTCGCCACTTTGCTATGCTGTTAGCTTGCTAGGTTTATTATTATAAAACGAAGTCGCTTCCCGCCGTCTGTACCTACGCTCTTTTAAACTAAGCAACGGATTTTGTTGCGGCTACGCTGAAGAAGGTATTTTTATAGGATAGGGTGACAAACGAGCACACAGTCCACCTGATGGTAAGTGGTTACTATGACCCATAGACATCTACATCTATCCTCAATAAAGAATCAAAATGCAGATGCGTTGTCAGCCGTGAGGACTAAGATGGAATGCCTCTTTTCCAGTAAAAAGGGTCTCCGTTTCCATACACTCACCCTACCAAACGCAGCAGTGTTCAGTTGCTACTTTACGCTGGTATTCTGTGAAAGCGTAGTCCTTCCCCCGGTCGAGTGGACTCATTTGTGCTACAACTATACTACTAATATAGCTGCAGCATGGCTCTACCACGTATAAATTATTTTATATGTATAATACATGCATTATATATTATATAATTCTTCTGTCCGTGTGAATGTGACTGAACTCCTCCTAAACGGCTGGACCGATTTTGATGAAATTTTGTGCGTGTGATTAATTAAGGACCCAGTAGGTGACTCTGTTGTCGGGATCCAGAAATCACCCGTGCGTAGCCGGGGCGGATGGCTAGTATCTAATATTGATCAGGTCTCGGGATCAGGTGTTTTATTTTTTTGTCGTAAATTGAACCTGAATTTTGTGTGATATATAAAATAAAAAGAAATTAAAGAATGACAGAATAGAATATTTTATGACACCTTATTCCTCGTGACACTTTGGGACGCAAGTATATTTACCAATTTCTTCACACAATAGAAAGGGTCCAAGTTATATCTTTTTTTATAGTTATTATCGCTATAATGCCGCTAGAAATCGAAGGTCTTGGCTACCTTACGGAGGACGAAAAATATTTTATCAGATTTATCTCACATTAAAAGTATACTACTTACTCCAAATATTTTTAATACAAATATTCCCAAAACATACATTTTGCACAACTGAAGTGTACTCAATCTTCTTTTTACCTATACGTATGATGTACAAATGTAATTGAATTTTCTAATTCATTTTTCAACCACTCTCAAACGGTTGAATAATCGGAAATTTCGCAGACGTGGCTTTATAACCAATAGGAAAGAAATGTTCTTGTAGGACGGCCTGACATAAGGCTCCACATATAGGTCAAGAAGATTAAGTTAGTGCATCTTTGTGTAAATACATTTGGTTGTAGTAGAAAAATCTATTATATACAATTTCTCGCTCGTTTCATGGATGTGGATGTTAACTAATGACAGGCAGCATAGTCATTCAATTAAAAGTTCGTTCCCGCAGAACTTCTCTTCATTCTTTGTATTATTGAGCAATTATAGTATGATTAACGTGATGACTGCGAATATGAGCGTATATTGGTTTACCAAACGTGGCAATGAAGCTATTGCCACGTTCGGTAAATAAGCGCTAACATTAATTGCAAAAAACAATTTCATTGGTACCGGCGGGGATCGAGCCCGAGTTGCTCACGTTCTACGGCAAGCTCTAGTCCCAGCTACTACAGAACTATTTCATTTATAAAACTTATGCCTCCTCTACACTACTCGCGAAGTAACTTTGACGAAGTGCTCGCCGAAGTCGATTGTAGTCCGAAGAACGTGACCACACACTCGTGCTACTTCGCGAAGAGCTCAGTCGTTTTGAGTCACCCGCACTCTTAACATGAATGACGTTCAAGAGGCAGCTGCTATAGGTATCTCATTGTGTGAACAGTACGACGTCAATGCGTTAACTAAATAAATAATTATGTAGAAAGCTACATATTTAATATTTATATCTTCGATCAACAATACTAATATAGTTAGGCGTAAGCCGAGTAGTGTAGTGAGACGCTTCGTGTAACATCGGGGTACTTCGCGAAGTCCTTTGACTCTGGGGCAAAAAACCGACAGCGATCGGAAGTCGCCCGAGGCGAAGCGAGGTTGGACGAAGCGAATCGAAGTACTACACTATTCGCCTCATTCAACTTCGATCTACTTCACGAGTAGTGTAAAGGAGGCA